TTATCAAAAAGATTTTGATCGTAAGTAATGAATTCAATAAATTTTTTTGTTAATATTAATCGTATAGGGAAAATAATTAGTTTTTTATTTCAAAACATTGAAATACGTAGGTAATTTGACTTTTTAAATATCTGTTAGAAATGTGTATAACTATTCTAAATTTTGAAATCTTCTCATCATATTCTATTTCATAAGTCCTAAACGGAAATTTGATCTAATGAGGAAAGCTCACTAAACTGACCAATGGTGATTGAATTGATTTTTTTTTTTCGATAAGTAAGACTCTGTAAAATCTGAAAAGACAAGAATCTTTGAAACTTTTCCCCGAAGTTATAGCTTCTTTGATGTGTTTTAACATTAAAATTCATTAGAGTTTTTTGATATAATTAAATGAATTAATTGATTTGTTTTATTTTGAGGTGCAAAATATTATATTCAATATGCTAAAGAACAATTTTTATTACGTTGGTCAACATTAAGTCGTTTAAGTGAATATGGTCGTAAAACAACAATTCAATTAATTCAACCTTATTATGAACTTGATCAATTTCTTGTATTTATTGAACAAAATTTACCATTATTAAAATCTCTTGAAAATCGTTATTTAACAAATAATAAAAATGATACAACAACACGAGATTTATTTCTTGAACGTGTACATTATGATTTATTATCACAATGGCAATTACCAGATGTTATACGTAGTTCAATACAAACATGGGATGATATTGTTACAAATCGATCATTATTTTTAGATGTATGTATAAAGAATTTGATATTTTTCTAGTTTTCTGCATATTTGAAATATATGAAGAATTATAACACACTATGATGTATTACAAATAAGAAGCTGTGAGTTTAGGTCCACAAAAAATATGAATCCGCAGTCTCCAAGTTGCGTAACGATGAGAATGGATTGAGGTTTTTTTTTATTTCAAAGGACAAGACAGTCATAGTTTTTAAATTTGTCATAGAGAGAAATAGACAAAAGTGAAAAACAGAAATAGTTGATTTTATTTTATTTTTTAAATAAATCGATTAAAGACTATTTTAGTTGATAAAATGCTGTTGTTGTCTATTGTGTTGAGATTTGTATAAGTTAGTTTTTACGACGATCTGTTTAATAAAGAACAAGTTTTATTGATTCAAACATCCAACACGATAAATTTACTCTAAGTTGATATATGCTTACAAAATTATTGTGGTATATCGAATTTGATCTTTCTATCAAATTTGTATTGAATATCTATGAGATTCGTTTCAAGTTATTTTATTTGATAAAGGAAATTTCTCACTTGATGAATTGCCTTTTAAGTTGAGAATATGCACATCATGTTGATTCTAATGAGTTATGAATATTTTGAGAAAAGTTTGGACCCTTATTTTATTGCTGCGAAGATACTGCACATTCGTCATATTGGTTTATCTCTATGCTGTAAGCTTCTTCGAAATAACTCATTTTTTTGATTCTCAACTTGAAACTTTCAACTGAAACAAGTCTCAACTAGAATAATTTATTGTGAAAGTTTCAATTGTTTTAATTCGCTCCTGTTATGAAATAAGAAAATCAAATCCGTCCATGTATCTAAACAATGTAAAAGACAAACTTTTACTATAGCCGAATCTTCGAATAGGCTCAACAACAAGATCTGAAAGTTTTGTCATA